AAGAGTAAAGGGTCCGAAAAGTTCCGAAAAGAAAATGAATGAACATAAAGACAAGACAAAAATTTGAGTAAAGCACCGAGAATTTCCGATGGTAGTAAATAGTTAATCTTAACCGGTTGGCAATCGGTTGAATGAAATAATTCGGTTCGGTTAACCAATTAAGGAAATTTTTCTTGGTCCAAATCACTACTCAAAACTAGGGATGGTCGGTCCTGAAACGGCCGAATAAGAACAGTCTTTGGGTTATTTGTCCGGTCTTGAACTGGTCCGAACCGGGCTTCGTAAAATAGGTAATCGTCTTCGATTATTGATCATTAAAGCGGTTGGGCCGAAAACATTGATGGACCTGGATCAGGACGGACTAGGTCGGACCGATCTCTAAAGTATATACAGTCAACTCCCTTTAAGTGCATGTCCTCTGTGCAAGGTCTCTTTAAATGCAATAAAATAGTCTTGGCCCAAGTTGGGACTTATAAAATAAGCACAAGTTCTTTATTCTGTAAGTGCAAGATTTCTTTTAGCCAGCATATATTAAATTATTTTCTCTAATTGCAATATATATACGTGATTATGAACCAATTAAATTGATTTATTTAATTACAAGTTTTTTTCTAAATGCAAGTCATTATTATTTTTTTTTTATTAACAGAGACAATTAATTACATATTAAATTAGATTTCTTTAATTGTAAATTCTCTCTAAATGCAAGATATTTTCTGGCCCATTGACTTGCAATTAGAGAAAGTTGAAACCTACGGTGATGAATAGCTATCGCATATTTCTTGTTGGCAGCAATACACTTATTTATTGCAAATTCATAGTGTTTAGCGTCGGTTTTATTGTTATTTGTTATTAAAGATTTAAATTTTATTACGATGCCGATGCGTAGTTCAAAAATCATGACTATATTCTTTTTGATCACATGTTATTTCATTACAGCATTAAAGCCGGCATTTCGTTTGAAGAGTTTTTATATTTAAAATTCTTTGGCGTCACTCATAGCAATTTACTGAGCTTTTATTTTTTTTTCAAGAAAAAGTATGGTCAGTACAGAGATAATTAGACAAAGAGAATCACTACCTGTAAGTTGTTTTATTTTATAATGACTCTTATTATAATAGTCATTGTTCTGACATGCCATTTGATTAAAAAAAAGGTTTTTCCTTACAGACAAGAAATAATTGACGCGATAAAAAATGAACCCTTACTCGTAGTTATCGGAGAGACCGGTATGTCTCTTTGATCTTTTATAATCTTTAATTTAAATTTAATTCTTTTTGAAATTTATAGGATCTGGTAAAACAACACAGATCCCTCAATACATTTTAGAAAGTTTTCCGGAGTTTAGGCTGATTGGAGTAACTCAACCTAGGTTTGTTGTAAACCCGTTTATGTATTTGTAATAATTCGTGTCTATTCCATTTACCTTTTTTCAATCTATAGGCGCATAGCAGCAATTACTGTAGCTAAGCGTGTATCTGAGGAACATGGTTCTAGATTAGGTGATGATATTGGATATTGCATACGATTTGACGATTGTACATCATCTAAAACACGTTTAAAATATATGACTGATGGTGTTTTGTTGCGTGAGGCAACTATTGATCCACGTCTAGCACATTATGATGTTATAATTGTTGATGAAGGTATATTTATATTGATTATATTTATTTCGTCTTGAATTTCCCAATTCTGAATAAATTACATTTTGTAATGTGAAATTTTTAGCTCACGAAAGAACATTAGAAACTGATGTCTTATTTGGATTATTAAAAGAAACTCATCGGTTACGTCCGGAGTTAAAGATTCTCGTAATGTCTGCAACCCTTAATGTAGAAAAATTTTCGGATTTTTTTAACAGCTGCCCGATATTTATCATTCCTGGGAGAACATATGATGTGGCAATTAATCATCATCGCGATGCAAAGATCTCTAGCCTTAAATCGACTTATGTTCAACGTTCCGTAGAGACCGCTCTATACATTCATACTCAAGAACCTCCAGGCGATATTTTGGTATTTTTGACTGGCCAGAATGAAATAGAGAAGGCTTGTAGAGACCTTGAAGATCTGGATCGAGGCCTAAATTATAAAACTGACGTAAAATATTTTGAAGATGTAAGAGGCTTGGTGATATACCCTATTTATGCTACCTTAGAAACTATGGAACAGAAGTCTATATTTGATGATCCTCCTCGATATACTAGAAAGATTGTATTTGCAACTAATATTGCTCAGGTAATAAATCATTTTATTTCTTTTTAATTTATTTAATTATAACTTGAATCTCAATAATTATACTATCATTCTTTTAGACTTCTGTAACAATACCTGGTATCAAGTAATTACTTTAATATGTATCTTTTGTTTGTATATTTGTTTAAATGACTAAATTTTTCTTCTACCTTTACATGAAACCATCAAATTTAAGATATGTTATTGATTCTGGATTTGTGAAACAAAAAACTTACGACCCGGCTACTGGAATGGATGCCCTTTTAGTGGTGCCGATTTCTCGAGCTGCCGCTACGCAAAGGGCTGGCCGTGCTGGTCGAACAGCTTCGGGTCAAGCTTTTAGACTTTACAGTCGGGAGTCTTTTGAACAAATGGAAGAAGATACCGTACCAGAGATACAAAGAAGTAGCTTACTGGGTACTGTACTTAGTTTAAAGAAAATGGGGATCAATGATATCATCAACTTTGAATTTATTGATCCGCCTGATCCAGCTATGGTAAAAAATGCTTTAAAACAACTCTTTTTGCTAGAAGCTATAGACGATTCTGGAAAGCTTACTACTTTGGGTAATGAAATGTCGATTTTTCCATTGAGTCCCTTTCTATCTAGGGTTTTAATCGCGAGCTCAAGGAAATATGAATGTAGTCGAGAGGTTGTAATAATAGTGGCAATGCTTTCAGTTGAAGAAATATTCGTATCTCCGAGGAGTACTGAAAAACAAATGGATGCTGATGAAAAAAGAAGAGAGTTCTATCATCCTTCAGGTGATCACATGATGCTATTGAACATTTTTGAAAGATATCGAGATAGTGGTTATAGTCGTGATTGGTGTAGGGATAAATACTTTAATTATCGTGCTTTATCGATGGCTAAAAGCGTTCGTGATCAACTCAGAGAATTAATGGCAAAACATGATCTTCCATTGATTTCATGTCGACTAAAAACTTATCAAGTCAAAGATGATGGTGATAGACACAAGAAAAAACGAAGAAATTCTTACCAAGATATTAAGTATAATGCTGAGAAAATACTTGAATCATTTTCTACTTCATATTATATAAATTTAGCAAAAAGGCATCCTCACCGTCCGGTATTTTATCACTACGCATCAGCCACCGGTCCTGGTAGTGAGAGTATAGATTCAAATTCGTCACTGTTGGCGTTACATATTTCTCCTACATCCGCGTTACATCCTGATAATAAAGTAGTTAGGGCTGATGATTTAGATTGGGTAACTTATCATAGTGTTTTATACACGAATAAGGCCTTGATGAAGGTTGTTAGCAAGGTTAAATTAGAATGGGTACAAGAAAGACTAAGCTTATTCAAAAAATTAGCAACAGCAAATTTGGATGGGTCTTATGGCAGTAATAAAAGTGGAAGCAATATACTTGATAATACGAACGAGGACAGTGATAAAGTAAATTCAATGGTAGCTGATGCGCAGAAAGTGAAGGATCAAGATGATGAGAAAAAAAGAAAAAGATTAGAGGCCATTGAAGCTGCAAGACAAAGAGCATTAGCTAGAAAATCCATTACCAATCAAGATTAACATGAGTTTGTGATATGATAATTTTTTAGTTGTAGATTATGCGATGCATATTTATGCTGGACATTTACGTCCCATGTGATTTAAATAAAATTAATGTTTTAGATTAATTTTGATTGTTTTGAACATATTAATAAGCCGGCCTTTTATATAATCAATTTATACTTCAGCACATTTTTTTGCTTTTCTAATTCTGCGATACTAATTATAAGCCTGGCATTTTCTAGTTTCAATGAATCTATTTCGGATAGGTCATTAATCTCGAGTTTGCATAATATTATAAAACTTTTAACAAAATGTTTGGAAAAAGAATTTTATGGTACGCGTCTTGGAAAATTGTTTTGTTAATGCTTTTAATTTCAAATAAAAATTACTTTTCAAGAAAAATTTTTAACATCAATATCGATATAACATAATAAATTCCGAAATCACATGCAAAGTAAACATGATTATGTATGCGAAATTAGTCACCAGGACTGATATAAAAAATAAAAATTTTCAATCATATATGTTATCGTTATACGTAATGTATAATAATTGTAATAAAAAGAAAAACTACAATATATAATAATTGTAATAAAAAGATTGTAAGGTTTTGTATAAAAAAATTTAAAAAAAAGAATTTTACAATCTTTGAGTAAAGATGCCTTGATAACTATCTCAACGAATCAAATAAAAATTTTTTTATTCGAATTTTCATATCCATAAAATTTAAATAAAAAATTTTTTTATTAGATTTGTCTAGATGGTTGTCGAGATATCTTCGCTCAAAAAATAAATTAAAAAAAGGTTAAAAACTTCGTTATCGTTATCGTTATTTACCCCCATACGTACTTGAACCTCGGTAAAAAACTATATAATAACTTTTTAGATTAATCTTTTTAATTGTAACGGTAAATCTAGAGTAACAGCCAATAGAAACAGTAAATTCTGGATATGCCCTAAAATTTGGGGACCTGATATAACACCCAATTAATTTTTTTTTTTTTTTTTTGACGTCTGGACATTTAAGTCTTTCGTCTCGGATTGCTATATGAATACGCGACACGAACAAAATGGTATTTACACTAAATCTTGCGCCTTGTTAAGAGTTGGGTTGATTGTTTACAGTAGTAGTTCGATTTTTTCTTCTCGTTAAGTTCTAGGTTTCGCGGTGGATCCCAGCTCAGTTTTAATTAAGGCGTTCTTTTTCCTTTTATTTATGGACATTTTATGAGCTTTATACTTTTTATCATTCAACGATGTAATGTGGAACGATAATCTTTTGCCATAATTTCTCAATTTTAGTCGATCTCCAAGAATTCGAAAATGTTAAATCTGATTAACTATCGACTCCGCATAACTCTCGCGGACTCGCGCGTGTTAACAGGTCAAATGCTCGCCTTTGATAAGCATATGAATCTTGTGCTGGCAGATTGCGAGGAATTTAGAAAGATCAAACCGAAAAGTGGGTCAAAAGTACCTCAGGGACAACCTGAGCAAGAGGAAAAAAGAACATTAGGTTTAGTTATTTTAAGGGGTGAAACTATTGTTAGCTTAAGTGTAGAAGGTCCTCCACCACCAAGTGCCGATGATTCAAAAGCAAAATTAGCGCAGGTATTTGACAATTAAATTCACAAAGTCGAAGGTCATTTCAAACGGTTATTTAACATTCACCCAAATTAGCTTCCAGGTGGGCCAGGTATAGGTCGTCCAGCTGGTAGAGGATTGCCCGGTGCTCCACAAGGTGTTGCGCCAGCAGGTGATATACAAATTCTATCTAAACTATTTAATATTGTTATATTATATGTTAGTTAATTGTTATTGTTTCATTTTTTAGGTCTCACTGGACCAGTTCGTGGTGTAGGTGGGCCAGCTCCTGGAATGATGCAACCTAGAGGCGGAACTCCTGCAGCTGCAGCTGCACCAATATCGTATGGTCGCCCGCTGATTCCTGGCCAAGTACCTCCAGGGATGACACCTAGACCAGGAATGCCACCAGTTATGGGAGCAATGCCTCCAGGTTTTAGAGGCGGAATGGGACCACCACCTGGAATGCCACCTGTGATGGGAGCAATGCCACCAGGATTTAGGGGAGGTGCACCGCCACCAGGAATCAGACCACCACCAATGGGAATGGTAAAATCATTTACTACTTCAAAATAATTTAGACTCTTTTATTAATATATTTTTCTTTGAACAACTAGCCCGGTGGGCCTCCTCCGTTTCCGTCAGGAGGGCGTGGTATACCTCCAAAGTATGTACACATTTCCTCATTACATATTTAATATTTTGCGAACGTTTTGATAATTTATTTTATTGTAGTTTATCCAATAGCCTCGCTTTGATGTAAAGTTACACAATCACAAAGATCAAAACAAAACGTTCGTTTTTTAAAAATCGCTTATTTCTCAAAAATTTGCATAAGAAACCACCATT